TACTGTAAATTCCTGGGTTTTTCAAAGTTTACTTAGCTAACACATGTTAACTTTCTCTATACCTGCAATCCTTACCGCTGCCTTTCCAGTTCTAAGTGAAACTCCTAGATGAACACACCTGTAAGTCTCTAATTTTATTTTTCTCCTGTAGATTTTGTAGAGTTATACTCACATTTTCATTTATTATATATTACACTACAACAATTATTAGCATCCATTTACTTTAGTTTAGGATCTTGTTACTCAGCTTACTTAGTCCATATTTTATTGTACTTACTGTTTATAATTTTAATAAGCTTATTCACATTGTTTATAAATTATGTCTAAATATCATGTAATTACCACAATTCTCTATCTTTTTGTATCTTGTCCGTTCTAGCCCTGATGAAGACCTGCAAAGTCGGGTCGAAATGTAGGCTTTCAATAAAATAGTTTTACCACTATTTAGCCTATTTATGACCGCAACCCCGGACCATCTCCTTCCTTTAAATTAAATATGCTACAATTTAACACCAAAATAGGCTAATTAAATCAACTAGTTTACGAGATACAGATTTCCAAATTATAGATAATTTTGGAACTTCAAATTTTAAGCAAATTTTCCTGTTTGATCATATGCTCTTGTCTTTATATCTTCAATGACCTGTCTAATACGATTCAGTAAAATCAACTTTTATTTATTTTAACATTTTGAAGGAGTAGTGAGGGAGAATGCGGTGTAAGAATGCGAGATCACTTTTCCCAACCAGAAGACTGAAATTGAAATTTAAAAAATAATTAATCAACATTTACATCAAGTGCTTACCAAAATACTAAATGAAGTGAAACAAAATTTCGAAACTTGAAAATATTAATGAATATTTAATATTAGGCAGTTGCATTATTAAGGAAGGAGATGGTCTGGGGTGGCGGTCATAAATAGACTAAATAGTGCCAAAACTATTTTATTAATAGCCAACGTTTCGGTCCGACTTTGCAGGTCTTCTTCAGGGAAGTGTGTTCAACCAGGAGTTTCACTCAGAACTTTTTACTCTTGATTTTCAACTTTAGTTGGAACGAATTGAAAAAATTGACTTTACTGGTATTTGTTATTGCTAAGCCCACATTTTAAAATTTGTTGGCGCTTTATTATACTCTATCTAGCTTTAATAAAACACCAATTATAAAGAAAATCAAGCCAACTGCTGAATATCTGAGACCGAAAAACTAACTCAAGTCACTAGCGGACTCAGGATTTAATTTTGGGGGGCTTCAGCCCGGAAGCTCCCGCCCCCGTAGATCCGCCCGTGACTCAAGTCAAAGTCGTCACTCAGCCATGTGATTTCACTAACCCCCAACAGTGATCGCCACTGTTGGATCACAGTGATTTCACAGCGCCAACAGAGACGGTCACCATAGTCGCTATGAAATCACAACTCTGATCACTCCACTTCATCACTCCTATTGCTTCAGCGATCTGGGCACTGTTGACATAATTTATTTAATAATGGAATTATCATGAAATAATTATTTCTAAAATAATGGTTATTCATCAAATTTTATTATACCTACTTGTTGGATGACTTATGCATCCATTGCAATAAAGCCGTATATTTTTAAAGAGTTATGTCTAAAATAATTAAGGGAAAGTTTTTCATTCACTCTTTTATTTATTGCTTGATTACAACATATTTTATAACTAAATTATTTTTAAAAAACAAAAAATAAATTTCTAAAATAATTACAGTTCTGAAAGAAGTTCAAATTCAATGAATAGTGAAAATATATAATAATATAAAATTATTACTATCGTTGAAATCCTACCTTCATATATACATTTTTTTAAATTTTATTTATTTAATTTTTTATTGCATTAACATGTTTATTGAAAGATATTACAATTTGTCAGAATTAAGGACATAAGAATCCCATCCTATGCCCTAATCACATTATCGCTGATCACCAATTTGGATTCCGCACATCGCATTCCACTATCCAACAATGTCATCGTGTGGTTTATGTAGCCTCCTCTGCATTGGAGTATGTACTGCACGGGAGTCTTTCTCGACTTTGAACAAGCGTTTGATCTAGTCTGGCACCCGAGACTTCTATACAAACTCCGCAAAGTCCTATCCCCTACATACTTCCTCGTTATCCGTTCCTATCTTAATGATAAATACTTCAACGTAAACCAAAATAATGTCTGCTCATCCCAACTGATTTTTTATTTTTACAACTATAGATAAGGTCATTTGCGTAGGTAATGGATATAAAGATTCGTACTTTTTCTTTGACACGTAATACGTGATTTTTCCTGCCTCTAGAATGACTTTTGTTTTTTTTTTTCTTTCAGAAAAACTGAGTAGGTAGTTTTTAGAGAAAAAATCATGCTGACCGAGGCAATTGACACAGATTACAGGATCAAAACATTCTGATCCTTCAAGTTTATTTTTGTAGCAACACCTATACAAAGGTTCTTCGGCACACGTATCTTTGGTATGCCCGAATTCGAGACATATGACAACGTGTTGGGTTCGAAACAAACTGTCTGATAGTAACATTATAAAAACCTATTTTGATTTCAGTGGGAATGTTGGGATTATTAAAGGTTAAACGATAATTGTGACTGTAATTTTTTCCATTACTTTTGTAATAGGTCAATCTTTTTACGTCTTGAGATTATAATTCCTCTTTCATCTCACCAATAGAAGAAGAATTTAGATCTGTGCACCATATAATTCCTTTACTTTGATTTAATTTTTTGTGTGGCTCCACTTTAACTGAAATGTTGTTAAATAGATTTTCGCATTTTAGGAACTTATTACATTGGGTTTCCGTAACAATCTCAACCAATAGTGTATCGTCTCTTAATTTTTTACAGCTTTTGCATCCCCAATTAAATTTTTAATACTTTTGTGAATGAAAAACGGTGATATTGTTTTAAATCCAATGGATTTCCTTCGTTATCCATTCCGGTTCTTTTCATTATCAAAATGTTTATGCATTTGTTAGGTTTACTAACTTGTTTTCCAGCGATTGTACCTTTAAATCTCGTTTTTTATTTTCTTTGAAGAGGGATATTCCGCCATGCTTATTGAAATATAAAAAGAAAAAGTACCTTATAAAAAAAATATTCTTATAATAAAAGAAATAAAATTAAAACCTGAACTTATCACTTGTTATTGATAATTATTCATTGGCAGCGCTAAAACCACACGTCTACACTGCACCAACTAACAAATCTTCATGAAAGTTCTTTATTAAAATTACTACAGTTATCTTGAAAATTTATCGTATAAACACTTACTTTATAGACATTTCAAAAGATAAAAATTGCCACAAATAATAAAGTCTGGTTACATTGAATAAAGTAACAAATAACTCCAGTATTTTAAATAAACAAACCTTATTAGATCTAGTTTTATTATTTCGAGGAACAACTATAATAACCCTTTGTACTTCACAGAAGCCTTTTTTGTTTTTCTTCGACAACATTTTGGGATATAATTGTAAGCCCATTTTTCAAATCAAGAATGGCATAAATAATTATGTAATCCAAAAACAATTTTTTATTTTATTTTACAATAAATATTTATGTCTTTCTCGACTTGAAAATGTTTTTGAATACAAAAATGAAATGTTTTTGTTAAGTACAAAGGATTATTAAATGTGTTTCAGTAATTATTTGAAAAATTCAGTCAAGGAAGTTGTTCAAAAATTTGGGTACGACAAAACTCCTACTATACATTAATAAACTTTATCATTTTGTTATTGCCATCATAGGAAACTGTTTGTAAATAATGGAAACAAAGATAATTTGAATGAAGGGATTAAGGGATATCATTTGAGATGATAATATTGTGGTATTGTTTTCAACTCACTACCCTGTATACAATTACAAATGAAAAAAATAAATAAATAAATTGTACTAAGGTAAAAATAATATCCCAGTATCAATTTTGAGTCACAAAATTTGTTTTAATTTATCTTGAATATTGTCCTCCGCATTTTCTTTCAGTTTATTTGTTTCTACACTTTTCCTCCAGTCCGGAAATAAATAAATCATAATATTATAATCATAAAAGATATAATTTTTTTTTTTTTTTTTTGTATAGATAGGGTTTTAACTTGATCTTCTTTCGTGAAACTTCTTAACTTAATTTGCCAGAAAATTACCAAAAACGCTAGTTACCGCTACTATTTTTTGTATTCATCTTTAGCATATGATTTAAAGAACATTTTGACTCCAGTAATGCCTTGGCGGTCGTTGGTGCAAGATACTCATTCTATTGCAATACGAAATTCCAATACCTGTTGAGTAATAACATTTCCGATGAAAATAAGAAATCGAAGAATTTATTAAGAAATAATTTATTCGAAACTACACTAAAAAAATATATTTTCAGAACTTAACAAAATCACCAAAAATATACTTCATGATTTATAACAAGTTGAAGAATTATTTTGGTGAAAATAGGCTTTTTACTTTTACTTTATTGAAAATCTTGGAAACGGGTATTTCATGTGTGCAAATTTTTCGAATATATGTGTTAACTATGTCTCATATTAAAAATACAGGAAATTGGAATTATCATAACAACTTGAAAAAAGGAGTATTTGCCACTCTCAGACCACTGTGCGGCCTTCAGCGATTTATTCACTGCTTCTTAATATTGATGGGTCAGTACAGCGATAAAGAAAAGGTAAAAAACATAGACTTGTTGTTTCATGGCGTGAATACTTTTTCATGTTGGGAGATTAGAATTGAAATATTTTCAATAGAGTAAGCTTTATTTTATAGAATGGGATTTGAAATTATTAAGTGAAGGCGCAAAATTTTATATATATATATATATATATATATATATATATATATATATATATATATATATATATATATATATATATATATATCTTTATAACAGCGATGTTTCTCGAAAATTTTTATAAAACTTCCATTTCAATTTTTTATGCTCTCAAATACTGACTGATAACTATTCTTAATAAACGATAAAAATGATTTAAATCGGTTAATTGCCTACACAACTTTAAAAAAATAAAAAACAACGAAACAGCAACAATAAATTTCTAAGTTAGTTTAAATAAGTAATAAATTGAAAACTCGATAATAAATCGAAATCGATCACAACCGTTAGGTCTATATAACTTCGTTATTTTGACATTTTGAGTGTGTAGATCAAACCAAACGACTCACTATTTTTGGAGGTCACCATTCTTCTCGATTTTGTGCTCAAATTATTAAACGACTCAATTGGAAAGCAAATATGTATTTATGAGTTTTTAGTACCTAGTTAAATAGACAATGTTTGCCGATCTCGAGATTGAAAACACCCGAATTCGGGAATTTTCGTAAATAAAATAGCTGTAGGTTATGATGAAATGAAGATATTTAAGAAGTTTCACGCGGATATTAATAATGTGATAAAATTTTGACTTTCCTGTACTACTTAAGTCAAAACACTATTTTCTGTAAAAATAAAAAATATCATGTACCTTCTGTAGTGCTTATTGGCTGGAAATAATCTTGAAGAATCTATAAAGACCTATGAAACCATAAACAATAATATGTCCATTTTAACACCAAATATTGACATTTTTATTACAACAACTTTCAGTTCCTTTTTGACCATATATGTTCTCCAAACGCCATCTTTAAAAATGCTTCCACTGATTCCATTGTATTATTTTTTATGAATGATATATTACTTATCCGTGGTTTAATGGAAAACGGGTGTTCATTGGACACTATTAAGTTTCCCTGATACAACCAACAGGAAAATTCTAAGCTTATAATTCTATGATGGTTGATATGTCCGAAAATGATAGGACACATTTTAAAACTGATGGAGTTTGGGTACGATTCCTTCACAATTGTGTTGAAACAAACACCAAATCCGATATCTCCATATTTCGTATTTAGGCAGACATCCGTGAAATTCGCTGAAAATAATAAATTATGTTGACAAATAAATTGTTGTTAAATATCATAATTAAAATTAATTCTTTTGTAATGAAAATATTGTTCTTTCCCTGGGAAAAAAATAAAGGTTAACTTTCAGTCACTTTTGAGTTCATTAATATTTGTAAGTCTTATTTCGGTGAAAGTTAGATGTTATTTTCAACGTGCAATAGTATAGGAAGATAAATAACGATATTTTCACTAGTTTTAAATTTTATTATTCATCCATTGTATATTTATATTTTTCGTTGAAACATTAATGTATAATATTGCTGTTGGTTATTTCTTTTTTGTCTGTGTGTTTGTATTTTTACCATATTTATCATTAAACTATAAGTTTAATTTCCCTATTATAGAGTCATTATGTACTTTTTTCGTATTAGAATGTATGCATAACAATTTCAATAATTATAAACAAATAAATTCACTTTCACAAGTATATCTAGGTAAGTCGCTAAAGTATGATAAACCAAATTGATCCTCTCTTAGTTGACAACATCAGAGTACCATCCAAACATTAGAATCTGTCGTGGAGCCGATTGTGGTTCCAAGTTGATTGCCGATTTTTGTTTAAGTTTAAAGAGCAATCCGATGTATCATACCCGGTCAAAAGCATGCAACATGTCCAGAAATGCACACCAACGATTTCGCTTCTTTTTCAGGGCTAAGGATATATGGTCAATAACTTGGAATCCTTATTGGACAATGGAATGTTGAGAACGAAATCCGAATTAATAGGTTGGAAGATTTTTGTATTCTAATACGGGTAGGATTCTTTTCAGTTGGATCTTTCAAAACTTTTTGAAAGGATTGGGAGTAGGATAATGTATCTTTAGGATAAGTTGTTCGAAGGTTTTCTTGGTATCAGGAAACGGAAGATGGTTGAATGTTTCCATAAGAAAGGCAAATAAGCAGTTCTTAAGATGCAATTATACATAAATGTAAGGAATATGATAGATTAGGATGGAAGTGGTCAAAGGATCTGTGGGGTTAGGAGGTCAAATCCATGAGATTTACGAGGTCAAACCCATGAGATTTAAGATGATGAGATTTTACGTAAAAGGTATTTGACCTCATTAGCTTCTTTAGGCGGTAAGGAAAGTGGAATAGGTGATGAGAGGAATGCTCCAACTTTTGTAACGCGGGTGAGATGGGATACTGGATAAGGAATGAATATACTGGAGAGATTTCTGCCGGATTCCTCAGCTTTTTCATCATCATCGCCAGGAGCCATCGTATCATGGAATTTTATACGTTTTTTTGGAAGTATTCCAGAGTCAACTGTTATGAACAGAGAGAAAAGTAAACTAAGAATTAAAGGATTGTGATCTGAAGGGTGATAATTCATTCTTTAATATTTTACAGTAATAATTGTAGCAGCGGCGATCAGTGGGATGTTTGGTTCGTTGTCATAATGATCTGCCACGGCGTTTGATGTGGATTAAGTCTATTAGGTGTTCGGGTAAATTATTTTTCTGGGTTCTTAAAAATTAATTTGGAGGGGAATCAGTACAAACTGCTGATTGAATGTTGGTGTTGACAGAATGTACAACATGTTCAAGGTCTAATGGGGTTTTCAAAGTTATTCTGAGGTCAATTTTATAGGAAAGGATTTGATAAAAGAGTTTCCAGTTAACTGGACCTCTGATAAAGGATGGTGGAGAAGGTTTAGGAATGGAAGCTAGAGATAATTGGAGTATTAATAGACTTTGATCTGAGGAATGTTCATTAAGTCGGGTACGGGAATGATTGAGGAGACCTAAACCACAGCGGATAGAAAAATCGAGGATATTAGAATTGTGGTAAGCATCAGTTAGCCAGTAGGTAGATTAGCTGAGAGAAAGGAGGATGAAACTTTGGGAATTGAGTGCTGAGAGCAATGATCTACCACGAGAATTCGTGGTTCTTGAACCCTATTCTTGATGCTTGGCATTTAAGTCTGCACCGTGGATGAAGTTATGTCCTAAGGAGTAAAGGAGAGAACTGAACTGGACATTAAATATGGATCTGTTAGGAGGGCAGTATGCTTCTGACTGCTACTTATTCTCCTTTAAAGCTTTGATTACCTGACGTACGAAACCAGGCATCGTTAATTCCTCCTTTATAACTTCAGGTATGGTAAGGAGTGCAAATTTCTTATCATCATTCGTAATGCTCTCTCCTGCCTCTGCTGGTACGTTTGAAAATTCGTCTTCGTTTCTGATAAATATTTTACTATGTTTCGCTATGTTTCAGGAATATCTGGTATTATTTTAGTGTTATTGGTCATATTGACACATGGGTAACTGCCGAAATAGATTTTATTTAGTTGGGTGCACACAACTGAAAGTTCTTTATGTTTTTAACAAATTTCGGTGGAGGCCTTAGTTCTCTGGTATTGCTGCAGAACCCCATTACATCTATCTCATTTTGAAGTACTTGGTCCAGGTTCGGATTAGAGAAAGGGGATTCTTCGGTCATTTCTTGTTTCGATATAGCTGGATGAGACTGAGGTTCAGATTCTAATGATTCTATAGGTGAAGTCACTGGAAGAGTTTCTCAAATGTTGTGACGAATTATTTGTTTCACTGGTGAACAACTAGGGGTAAAGCCGTCTGACCGAGTCCTGTTAGTAAGACACCTTACAGGACATCAGTTGGTGATACTAACGCATATAATAAAAGAAGAAAAATGGAAACAATAAATAGAAATAAATTTTTTTTAACATACTGTAAATATAACTTTTCTAATGTATCCCTGACCAGTATTGCTTGAAAAATCACAAATATTTCTATGAAAGACAAGTAAATTCTGATAGCCGAGGTGGAATCACACTTTCATGTAAGCTGATCGATCAGCTGGATAATTTTTTTTTTTTAGATTTTTAAAGTGATAAAATATGAATCGTTAAAGTAAAATTAACAATCAATTGATTTAATTATTTTTATACCATTAATGCTCGATTCTTACCTGAAATCTTGATGTCAAAAAGTTTATTTGAATTAATTTCTAGGGCCAGGACAATAAGTTTTATTGAAGGGTCAAGTACACTTGTTAAGCATCCTAAAATCATAAAGTTGTATAATTAAATACAAAATAATTTTTATTATTTATTAACTCTAACAGTTTATTTTGCTTATAGAAAATATATATCTTGCGAATTACATAATTATTCACACCGTGGAAATGAAACAAAGAAAAAGAAAGGTGAAGAATGATTATTTCAGTTCCATTAAGAACCAATAATTATCAAAGATACTAAAAATTTTATCTGCATAATTTTTATCCATATATTTAGATCCAGATATTCATGGAGTACAACAAAATAATATAGATACAAACTGGAATAAAACTTAACAATCTATCAGGTAAAATAAATAAATAACTTGATTGAGCCTTAGCCAGGGCTAACTGGGTTGATGTAAAACTTTATTGATGTTGTGGCAGATATTGCATTGTTAATAAAGTATGTGTATATTGTTGAAAGTTATCTATTTATATTATTTCTAAAACTTTTTTTTTTCGTTACGCCACATCCTGGTCAATTCTTAATAACTCCAATGATTGAGTCCTCATTTTGAAGATCTTTTTCATTTTTAGTTGTAAAAAGTAGTCACCCTCCTCCCCGAAATTTAAGGGGGAAAAGTAATGAAGAAACAGAAAATTTATTTGTGAATAACTCAAAAAGTATATTTAATCTGAATCGCTCCTATGATTATTTGAAATATTACCTAATTCCTCACAAAAAAATTGAAAAATCATCTAAATAGATTAAAACTTTTTACATTGAAAATAATTTGTACCAACCGAAGGAGCGAATGGGCATCAAATGAGGATAGGCAGTTAATAGCTTGGTGAAAATTTAGTGAATCTATCAATTATTAGAAAAACATTCGAGATCGTTTGGATGCTGATTACTTGTTAAAAAATAAAATATAGCTAAATAAAAAAAAAAGCAAAACATGTTTAAAAAACAAACAAAAAAATGATATTTTCTCAGCAAGATTCAGTGGGTTCAGAATCATATAAACTCGTTTTAGAGTTTCGATTAAGTTTGCATTTTTATTTAACCAATAATTAAATTTTGGTCCGACTAGATGGCAACATAAAACGGTAGCTCTCATTAATAATAAATAAGAAATAAAATGATTCTTTTTTTTCTAATTCTAAATATAGTATAGTAAGGTAATTTAATAAAGAGAGAAATACTTTATAGAAATTAGTGCTGCCTTACTGTATAGGGTTGCTTTTTATACAGCATATTGACTGATCCATACACACATAGCTCTTATATTATATTATAACACAGATAGATTTATTTCGTTCTAACCCAGTGAATAAGACCGTTCACAGAAACCAAAGGAAAACAAGAGGAGTGTTCCAGTGGTACGAAGAAGGTGAAGTTTAGTTTGAATGGGAAGATATGGGTGATGGATTTTAGGTCTCCCAGAAGATATTAGACAAAAGGAATTATTCATGAAATACTTCGATCTGGGCGATTTCGTGTGTTTGTGCCAGAATTTAACCAGGTACGCATATCAACTGTGCGCTAGGAGTGATCTGCTGCTCATCAACCACTAGATAATATTCCGTCCCCTTACAAGTCGCCTCGGCCTGTTAGGGAAACCGTAGGGGGACCATCGTCCCCAATCGAATTATGTTACTGTTATTCATATCTTTATATTTATGAATTATGTTACTTTTTCGGAAGGGAAAAGTTGTAATGTATTATCGAATTTACTTTTAATAAATAATGATCGATTATCTTTTTGTAATGAGGTTGTTACTTGGCAACATAAAAAAAAATGTTGATTCTTGATTATGGTGTACTTAAGTAAAGATTGGAAAATAATTGTGTTATTTGAGTTATGATATTTCTATAATACATTATACTAAGTTTGAAAAAGAAAACATTTAAAATTCTCCGAATCATACCAATGCCATTGTTTAAAATACTATTTAATTTTACTTTTGTGAAAAAAAAAGTGATACATAAAAATATTTCGTGGATATGTTTATAATCTTAAATAATTTTGCTGTAGTTTAATAACTCTAGATATGATATTATATTTAAATAATTAGGTACCTTTTGGCCGTTTATTCTAAAAAATCATCACTTAACCATTTATGAAATTAAATTAGTGAATAATTTGATAATTTTTCCTTTGTGCAATCCCAACATTATCCACTTACAATTAGTGTAACAACTCTTGACCTATCCATGGCTAGCAACGAAAATCTAGTAATTTCTATTCTGACAGCCTTTTGTTAAAGTTTACAATGGAAAATAACAGTTTAATAACTAATAGTCCTACGATTCATAATTATTTCTAGGTTAAATTTTTAGATGTACTTTCAAATCTCTCTAGGTATATATGAACCCTTCGGTTGTCAGAATGACTAACTCTAATTTGATCATTATTTATTATTAATTTTCACTAAATTAATAATAATTGTTTCTAGTGGCAAAATTTATGCCTTTATTCACAATTCTTTCACAATTTCAACATTGCAATCACCTTCTCTGAAATTAACTTGCTCATTATCTGTATAGATATAACTTTCCCAACTAGAAATATCACTAAAATCACATTACTCAAAAATGTTGAAATTAGAGTCAGGCATTTTGTAAATTGAAAGGCTCAAAGACTAAAGTTATGTGAATTTATGTTTATAAAAGCAGATGGAGTAACTAGGTTTTTATTGTCTACCGTCGATATAATAAATAGACTTTTTATGTTTTTAATGGTCTTAATGATTAGTTATATGTAAGCATTAAGCTTTAGCTCCGTTAAATATGCACTTCGTAAATTCTATAATAGCCCTACATTGCCAGAAAATAATTTCCATTCGAAGTAAAGCGGAACGTGAAAGTTGTTTGTTGCGCGCACTAGATTTTTGTTGAATAGGAAGCGATAACTTTGATAAAATATTTGAATATTTGAAAATATAAAATATTTGATTTAAGTAACACAACTTTGGTCCATAGTAAATTAGACAAAATTTACTTAAAAGGGAAGTAAAGTTTGATAAAGTTTAAATTGTTTAACTATTATATTTAACGAGTCTTTCTAGGCTTCTTAAATTGACCAGCCCTGATGAAGACCTGAAGTTCGGGCTGAAACGTTGGCAAATATAAAAATAAATATAATTATTTATTTTTACTATTTCTTATTTTGATTTATCACTCCTATCATCCTTCTCTTCCATTATTAAATACAGTATGCAGGTCCGATTTTTAGCTTCTGAGATATTTTAACCTATATCTTCCATAAAACCCTTTAATTTGGGTATGCGATTCTATTTTATCCCAGTATTTTTCAATTATTTTCATTACACTTTTCCAGTTGATATTGGTAAATAAATAATCTACATCAAAACGGACAAAACAAAATTTACCTACTGTCTATTTCATTTATTCTTTCAAGCATTTGATACACCTCAATTGAGTTTTTTACCTCATTGTTACTATCTGATTTTAGGTTATTGAGTGTGGAATTGAGATATTTAGTCAAGTTTTTCAGTTTCCCTATTGTTATTACTGATCATAGGACTAAGTGGAGCGCCACTTTTATGTAATTCTATATTCTATATAGATAGAATATAGAATATATAATTATACATCATATATTCTAGGTATATTGTAGTTAGGGTTGATTAGTTTGATTTCGCTTAAATTTTTAAAGTTAATAACAAAGTTCAATTGTATAAAATATAGACATCAAAGCAAGGTCAATCTAAAAATGTTCCTAATGATTTATAATATACTTATTTAAATTAGTAATATTTACTAGATTATGTTGTATCCAACGACTGTATAACATTTATATGAAAATCTCCAGTTGGATATTTCCACATAAATAAGGATGGTTATGTAATGTTATATAATCATATATTTTCCATTATGCCTAAGAATTTTTGCTATTATTATCATTTATATTATTTCTCTTCTTTTTTTTTTATGTATTGTTAATAATGTTATCAAAATAAAATTTCAATGTTGTAATAATATTATTAGCTTTTGTACTCTATATTGGCATAAACTCGTTATCATTTGGTTTTGAACACTTTTCCAATCTTTTTTCCTCTGATACTCTCTAATACGGTCTTGGGTTAAGATACAATTTTGAATAATAGTTCATTACAAAGAAGACAAAATGCTGAACATTTCCTCATCCTACAGTATACATATCCGATTTTTAGTATCTGAAATATTTTAACAAATAAGTTCAACTAAATTCGTTATCATTTGGTTTTCAACACTATTTTTTTCCTTTTTGCCTCCCTAACACGGCGTAGTGTTAAGATACAATTTTGAATTATAGCTTATTACAAAGAGGATGAAATTGTGAACGATTTCCTCGCATACAGTAGGCAGACCCGATTTTTAGTTTCTTAGATATTTTAAACCATATGTAAAAACATTTCAATCAGTCGGCTATAGGCGACTTTACACGCGTTGAAATCTGACCGACCAATTTAATTTACTCTCCACAAAAAAGTGCAAAAGGCGCCTAAAGAAATTGTCAATTCAAAATCATAAATCACTTGTGATTTTTTTTATCAACTTTTAACTATACTACATATACCCCACTTCTAGAAAAACTTATTCGTTTAAAATGCTACAATTCCATTAATATTGTATTAATTGAGTTGAGGTTTATTTGGAAAAATTTTGAGATTCATCTAAAGTTGTGTAAAGAAATAATGTGATTTCCTATCCAGTCACTTTATAGTACCCGTGTATTCTGTAATAATGACTATAATTAACTATTGCAAAGCTTTTATTTCTAAGTTTTTCCGTGACATGGGATGTATTGTAGTAAATATAATGGCCTAAAGACTCATTTTATTTATAAAAACAAACAATTTAAAAATTATGATGTTTTAAATATTTTTCGCGTAATGTGGTTATGTACTAGTTCAATCAATTTGCAATCACTCAATTTGAATTAATTTTGTTGCTCGTTATTTTTGATTTTTATATTTTTTAGCTGTTATTCTATATTTGTTTAAGAGTTCAAAACCGTAGTTAAAAAACTTTAAAGGAACACAGTTTTTTC